CGCTCTTGAACTGGAACATTTCAGGGCACCTTCGGGTATACACGTGCCCGGTTTCACCCACGCCTCCTCTCCCATACCGCCCCCTCAGCACATGGCTTGCACATGGTATGCATTTACTTACTGACTCCTAAAAAAAATCTCGTGAAGGAGGCCTACACTATCCCTGTTTGACCAGTGAAGAAACCGAGGCACAGAGAGGTTAAGGAACTTGCCCAAGGCCACATAGTGAGTGAGTGGCAGCGCCAGTGTTCTGGTGTCTCGACCACTGAGGTGAGGTGTGCTGCCTCTCCAGGGTGGGCAGATGTGTGTGTCTGTGACCCTGACTTAGGAGTTCCAAGTGCACCTTTGCTTCCTGGCTCTGGCTTCTACAGCCAAGCTGAGTGCTGACAATTCCCATCTTGGGTCTGTTCTTAGAAGATGTGCGTCTCTGAGGTGAGTGAGGCCAGTGGGGAGGGGTGTGCACAAGGCATGGACTCTGGGGGGTCTAGGTTAGAAGCTCCAGATGGAGAGAGGGGACCGGGGGGAGGGGCTAATGGCAGGTGGGGAGGTGGAAGGATGTGTTTTTATCCCTTTTTCTTTCCCTTCTTCCGTTCTTCTCCCCAGAGGCTGTGTGGCCTTAGGAACCCCCTCCCCAGATGGCCAACAGTCGCCACATTCCAAGGGCCTGCGGATGCTAAATCGCTCAACACGAGGACGGTTCTTCAACAACCCAAGGGGTGGGGGGCGCACAGGATGCCTTCTCGCCCCTTAAATTTATGCGCCTGGGAAGGAATTTCTGGGAACACTCCTTCCTACCTTGGAGAAAACCTTGCTGACCTTGCCTTTCCACGATGGGTGGCTTTAAACCAAATGTACCTTTTGAGTGTTTTCAGAGCATTAAAAAGGCAAAAAGGGCAAGGAAGGGGAAACTGGACATGGAGCAAATCTGTCCTGCTTGGAAATTCACCACGTGGCACGTGGACACAAAGCACGGTCGGGGTTTACAATTCTATTTGAAACTTTTGAAATATTATCTGAAGACATTTGCAGACTTACTCATCATTTCATAGACTGTGAGCAAATCAAGAGTTCCTGTGTTGGGTCAAGATTTCTAGAGCCTCAACCTGCCTCTCCTCTCTAGGAAGCGAGCTCTGTGGGAACCCCCCCTTCCCAGTGACCAGCTCAGGGGCACAGAAAATTCTGGAAGAGGATCCAGGCAGGACCTGGCCCAGATGCTCACTCTTCAACTCTGGCCCTGACCAGCTGCCAGAGCTGACGCTGCTGATGAGATGCTGGGGTCTTCTGTTTTGGGGGGTGGCGAGATGAAAGAGGAGAGGTGTCCCTTTTCTCAGAGAGACCAGGTCAAGGGCAGGGCCTCACAAGGCGGCTTCCACCTCCCAGTCTCCCATCTGCCACCTGTGCTGAGAGCATCCTTTCTTCTGGCTTCCTGCGCGCTCAGGTGGTCAGTATCCACGCTGGACGTTCTGGAGGAAATCCTGCCCTAATTTGACTCTGATTTCTTAAGGGCAGCAAAACTTGGGCCAGATCCACACACACACATATATATATTCTTTTAATTTAAGGAAAACAGAGAAGTGAATCAACAAGGTCAGAGGGTGGTTTAAAATATCCCTATTCCACCAGATGGTCCGACGAAGGGAGGCCCTCGGGTGCCCTGAGCTGCGCGCGCCATGAGCCAGCGCTGCTTCCCAAGGACAAAGGAAGCAGCAGGAGTCTGTCCCCACTGCCGGCCACATACCTGAAAGTCGTCCACTGAGGGGATGGTCCGGTTCGCGGTCCTCCGCTTGTGCCACTGCCTCAGGGTGTCCCTGGCCTCAGAGCTCAGCAGTCTCGCTGCCTGCTCTTCCTGGAAATTCTTTATCAGGGAAAGTGCTCCGTAGGCGCTGGTCAGGTAGTAGCCCCCTGGAAAGGGTGGAAAGAATGAGTTCTCCAGGGGTTTACCAGTTGGACAACAGTTGGGGGCCCACAGAGTTGGAGGTCCGGTTCGGCATTTTCTCCTTCTCTTCCGCATGCATTTCCTTGAGGGACCACATGAGAGCACATCCTAACCCATCCATTCCTGCATCCGTCTCCGTGGATGTACGGCTGACCCAGGCCTGGGCCACAGCCCACAGCGGACCACGCCCTGCTTTCCCTGATGGAACTTCCATTCCAACGGGCGAGACACACAGAATCTCTGTTATCTAAGCACAATTGTGAAAATGCTTTGCCAGAAAAGGTCAGGGTGCTGGGGCCTGATGCAGGTGGGGAGGCGTGTGAGGATGGCAGGGTCCACCTTTCTGAGGCCAGAACCCTTTAGTACAGGAACAGGAATCCACCTATTTCTGGCAACACCTGCTTTGGGGCTTTTCCTTTAGGAATTACTCTTTTCTAAATTTTGAGTAAACTATACACTTTGAAAGGAATACACAGTATACATGTGTGCTCACGATAATATGGATTCTTCAAAATAACTTCTCCCTCCTGATTCCCTTTCTTACCCTTCCCTGGGGACTCTCATAACAAGACATTTATGAAAGAGTAATTTACAAGGAAAAGCAAGTGATGCCCCTTTGCTGGTGCATTTGGGAACGATGTCTTATGTTTGGGGGAGTGTTAAAAAGATTTACAACACTCTGAGAGACATAAATGTGTTCACAGTTTGGTCTTAAACTATAATTAGGTGCCTTCCTGAAACTGGTAAGCTGTGTGCTAGAGAAACACTAGGGGGCACCCCAAACATTTATTACAAATTCCCTAATTGGGCACAGCACATCATCCATTGAGAGACATTTCTTTATCCAAATACCTATCGAATCTCCACCGTGAGCCAGATACAGAGTAGGGGTGGGTTTGTAAAAATTAGAATCAGAGTCCCTGCTCTATAAATGTATTAAAGAAAACAGACATTGGCGGTTTATTCATGCAGGGACCGGAAGTTAGTTGTGGTTTAATAAGTTTTGTCTGCCAGTATCTCTTTCATGGCCAAAGTATTTAGCTGCTAACACAGGATCCTGGAGAACTTTCTCTCTGGTCAACAGGTGACAACATTCAAGATGGCAACTGGTCCACCATCTAGGAAACGAGCTGAACGCCCCCCTGTGACTCATACTGAGAAAGAAACACACTTTTGTGGCTTTCAGGTCGCTGGCAGAGATTTGGAGTACAGCGCTTTGAGTGGTTGATTTTTACTAAATACTTTCCCCATGAACAAATCACATGATTGAGTGGGAAAATCAGTAGTATGGAATTTAAATGCCACACAGAGGATTTCAGGAGAAACCAATATGGACTTAATACTTAAGAGAGGCTTGTGGAGGTGTTAGGATTGGAACTCGGACTTGGAGGAACAATGAGAGTTGAGTTTGGGAGGGGACTGTTTCCTCTGAACGCCAAATTTTAGACTCCATGGCTCAAAGTTCAGGCCGCTATGGAGAAAACTCCAAATGCTGGAAGCACAAAACTGACCACACTTTGAAACATGTGGATGCAATTAGAGGGAGGTTTAAATTTCTGCAAAACTCTAACCCTGCCAGCAGGGCTGTGCACGTAAAAGGGATTCTATGACGCTTTTTCCGCAAATGAAACTACCTGCTTAAACAGCAGAAAACAGATGTGGGCTGCCATCCCGCAAACCAAAGAGGGCTTTGGGCAGTAGGGCAGGATGCAGGGCTGGACCGGCAATGCATCTCTGCTTGGCTGCCTCTTCCTCCCAGACTGCAGAGCTCCGGCCTGAGAGGTGGGCCTGGTCTGCAACCACAGCCGCCCGGCGGGGCCGCCCTGCTCTCCCAGGAAGCAGTCCGAGAAACCAGGACACGGCTGAGCGGAGGCAGGCTCTAGTGAAAACCCGAGCTTGCTGGCTGCGCTGTAGTTTTGCTAGCTGGGTCCTTGTCTCTCTCTGTGATTCCTGGAGTTGAGGACTGCCACCCGCCCCATCTGTCACCGACATAGTGGCCAGGGCAGTGCCTCACTCCGGGGAAACGATGGGAAAGGTGGCAGGAAGTGGCTGTCTCGACCCTCAGGCAACATGATGTAAGTGTATGTTTGTCCTAAGCACATTCTGTCAGCAGCAGAATGGTAATTTTCTGAGAGAAACTGGCATGCCCTTCCCCCAAAGCCCCAAGAGTTCAGCACACTTTTTACTAGAATTAAACATGACTGAAGCTCAAAAAAATCCCAGATGCATATAAAATTATAATAATAATGCAGTGGAAGAAAGGAAAGCATGGGACAGAGACAGATGTATGTTTCCTCTTGGTCCCTGGACAGAGCCACATGCTTCTCCCCTCCTGGAAATCCCAGGGCAGAGCAGGGGAGGAATGCTCCTGGCAGGGTCTGGCCAGAGGGTCTGACCTCAGCGTCGTGAATATTAATGAGGGGAGATAAATGGGGGAGAGGTAAAGGGATGGAGAGGCTCATTCACAGGATGAAGATATTCATCACTGGTCCAGAGTCAGCGTTGTCCCTACAGGGACGGAAGGGGGACCCTCAGGGCTCCCTGGAGGTCAGACACTCTGAACGAAAGCCAGGCACTGGGGACTTAGTGAACGAATGTACACACTCGGAGGTGACACGGCACTGCAGTTTCCTCCAGGGAAAATCCTGGGATGATGCATTCCCTGGGGAATCCCATGAGCACGTGGATGGACCTTTTTACTCAAGCCCAGACTAAAGCTCACTGGAAAGAAAACATGTTATGCAACAATTCATCACTCAGGGTCTATCTGGGCTCCAACAGGGACACATGGAAATGGACTGTCAGAATGCACAAGGATGAATAGGCTCCGATCTGCTCCCCTTTGAGAAGACAAGCTCACACAAGAGTCCTAGTTATTCCAAGCCTGTGCATCACAGTGACAAACACCCCAATTATTTCTGTGATAAATGTGTAAGGAGAGGAATTCCTGCGAAGACATGTGGATACAAGGAGACTGGAATAAAGACACAGACCTACTAGAGCATGGACTTGAGGATATGGGGAGGGGGAAGGGTAAGCTGGGACAAAGCGAGAGTGGCATGGACATATATACACTACCAAACGTAAAATAGATAGCTAGTGGGAAGCAGCCGCCTAGCACAGGGAGATCAGCTCGGTGCTTTGTGACCACCTAGAGGGGTGGGATAGGGAGGGTGGGAGGGAGGGAGACGCAAGAGGGAAGAGATATGGGAACATATGTATATGAATAACTGATTCACTTTGTTATAAAGGAGAAACTAACCCACCATTGTAAAGCAATTATACTCCAATAAAGATGTAAAAAAAAAAAAAGAGTCATATACCACAATGTTCATTGCAGCACTATAAAAAAAAAAAAAGAAGGAGACTGAACGGACAAAGTAAGTCGAAAGCAAACCGCCCAGATTTTACTCCTCTGTAGTTTTATGTTAATGACGAGCAGATTCTATTTTTTTAAATAGAAAAGGAAATTAATTCTCTTTTCGTCTTGAAAACCAAATTTAAAAAATAAAGATGAAAACAAAAGACAGGGCTTTGTCCTATTCGCTGACAGCGGGCGGTTGTGCCGGCAGTGGAATTATTCTCCAACGAAAGTTTATAGCTTCCCCTTGGAATCAAAGAAACCATTTCTTCTAAAAAATTGCATTTATTCTACTGAAAGGTATTTTTGATTGCACTTAACCAATCTCAGTGAAGTGTAACTATGGCAGGGTTGCATTTTTGTGTGTTTTTCTGACTTTTCCAAATTTTCTGCGATGAACATGTATTACTTTTGTAATCTGAAAAAGAAAGTCACATTTTTATAAATGAACAAAATTAAAATGGCCGTTAACCCTGAAGATGTCAAAAAAGCACCCATATAAGTGCCAAATGGGCCTGGGGTTTTATTTTGGGGGATGAAAATGTTTTGGAGCTGGAAAGAGGTGGAGGATTGCCCCAGATTGTGAATGTATTAAGTGCTACTGAATTGTTCGCTTTAAAATGGTAATTTTATGTCACGTGAACTTCAATTTAAAAAAAAAAAGAAAATGAAACCGAAGAAAAGCACCCAGATCCTCCCACTTCTTCAAAAGCCTGTTACCTTCTCCGTGTAACAGGGATGGGTCCAGGAGTTCCATCATGTACTCAATCTCTGTGTCCAGTTCCAACATGTCGCACTGGGCTATGACATAGGTCAGGACCGGTAAAAAGTCATCGGCTCCATACATCCTTCCTGGAGCAGGAAGAAAGGGGGAGACAGACGGGGATATTTTTATCAACATTTCTTCCTTTCATATCCTACTTGCTGCTTTTATTAGACAGCGAGGAGTCATGTTGGGGAAGTGAGCTATTCATAAAGAGAGATGGGTGTTTCTGGAATCCTACAGGGCCTGGGCCTCTCCCCACTGCCCATGTCAGAGACCAACCCTAACTCACAATTTCAGAATGAATGTCTGAGTCAATGAACACAGCGAAGATTTTCTCCCCATTTCCATGATTTGCATCAACCTACGCAATAGAACAGAGTACTTTGAAAGAGTTTAAACTTTTTAGCAAGTGACACGATAAACCATTTGCGGAAGTGTCTACTTAATGATGTTACTCCTTTGTGTCTTGTTTCCCGTTGCTTTCTGTGCAAAGTAATCAAAACTTAGTGACAGAACCAAACTCGAGCAAGGAATCCCTTCTCTGTCTTCAATGGGAGCTAAATGTACTCATTCAGTGTACACTGAATACATATATACGATTAATATCTGGCGAAAAATGTTTAGTCTTTACTGCTACTTTTTATGACAATGCAGATTCTCAACTAGGGGTGATTTTGCCCGCCCCCCATTCCAACCAGGGGAGTCTGGCTTTGTCTGGAGACATTTTTCATGGCATCCGGATGCTGATAAACTTCCTACAGGAAGCAAGATGGCCTCACAATGAAGAATTCTCCAGATGTAATGTCATTAGTGCTGGGATTGAGAAACTGTGCCTGAGAAGAGCAGAACCCTGTGCAGATATAATTCGGGTGATGTTTTATAAACGATTTCATGGACTACAGAAAGTACACTTCTTGCGTGTAAAGTATGCTTCAAAACCGCAGAGGTGCTGTTCGTCAGCATCACCAGCTCTGGAGCGCACGTGTTAACATTTCTGCCTAACAATCTGCAAAGTGCTTGCACACGGCAACCTCCTCCAGCCGTGGGTAACAGAGCCTGTGTTTTCTCTCCGCTGCTTCTGCATCAAGCGATTACACTCAGAGGAAAAGTTGTGATCATCCACGGAATTAAAAAGGCTCACCCAAGACCTGTAGCACTGTAGGGCTCATCGCTACCCATGAATCAGGGTCACTCCTGCACCTACAAGAAGCGGTGCAGGGGAAACCCGAGGGCTGACTTATGTGAATTCCTACTACACTGCATCAGTTTGGAGCAAAGAAGGGAGAGCCAACGAAATGGCTATGATGAAACCACATTATAGCCGAATGCTCCAAGTTTCTGACAGATGCTGTAAATCACCGACACAAACCCTCACTGGCCAAAATGTAGTAACAACAGGAATAATCATAAATATTTCCACCATGCTTGGGGCTATGCATGCGTTGTCCCATCTAATCTGCACCTTAGGAGGAAGGATGGGGTCATACCCACGACAGGTGCAGAACCGCAGCTTGGAAGGTTGATTATGGTGGCCAAAGCCCCACAGTTAATGAACCCATTCGCAGAGCTAGGATCTGAACCCAGACTCCCAAGACTGACTCTGTATCCACCACCCTGAACTAAATCTTTTATAATCTGGCATCGTACAAAAATCTTGTTGCCCTCCTCCGCTTACTTTTTGGTGCTGTTTGCCGCATGTGGACTAATTTGCCAGACACCAGAGTAACACTTGTATTTTTTGTGAGCCACTTGGTGAAGTCAAGAAACTGAAAGGAAGAGCAGTTGGGAATCAGAAAGCCTGACATGTCCCAGCCCCCGTCGTGAGGCCAAGAGCCCGGACGGTGTGGCCTCACCTGAGTTGTTCTCCATGACGGTGTAGATGAGCTTGCAGACCCTCAGCAGAAGCATGACTTTCTTTTCTGGTGAATACATCTTCTGCATGGTCATGAACTTGACTTTGATTTTCTCCACATCCACAAAGTCAGGGGTGGGGGCGAAAACGCCCAGCTCCTGTGGATTCCTCTGCCGCACGAGCTGCAAGTTCTCCTTGAGTTGTTTCCATGAGCCGTCGGCCACATGGAAGTGCTTCAGCATGGCCTCGACGTGGCCCTTCAGGGGCTTCAAGATGCACTTGTGCATGGCTTTTTCCAATACCACATCTGCCAAAGAAAGCACAGCTACTGTGACCATTGACTGAAGAATGAAGGAGTGCAGGGTCTGCTTTCTGGGAACAGACAACTGCAACTTAGTGCATTGGTTATCGGGCAGACGCGTCCGAACTACACACCCAACCAGCCAAAATTTAGAGCCACGTCACTCACGCGCCAACCTTTTCTCTTCAGTAGAGCCAGGAAGAATGAATCTTCCCTAATAGTCTTACAGTCTCTCTTGCATGCAGTTCATACAATTGAATATACTTGGCTTTAACTGCTTTTACACCTCCTCACCCATAAGCACAGGTGAATATTCTAGAAGACATTCTTTCGACCCAGTCCTTCCACTGAGGGTCCAGTGGACAGTTAAGCAAATGTGTTACGTTAAAAGAAGGATTTGCTAATAGCAAGGGTTCCAGCTCCCTCAAAATATTTCCTGACGAAAAAAAATTCAGTTAAATACACCTGGTATCTCGGATTGGATTCTGGACCATAAAAAGTCTTTATGTCATTTGTTATATATAAAGGACATGAGTGGGGCATTAGATGAGATTTGAATAAAGTCTGCAGATTAGATAATATTGTTAACAGCGAATCTGGCTTCTTTCACACAGATTGACTCTTGGAGACTCAGCCAGCTGTGTCTGGAGCAGAAGTGTGCTCTTTTTCACAGAATGAATCTTCCGTGAAAGTTAATGAAAGTTAATTTCACTGCAGTTTTGTGACACGATGTCCCTGTTTTTAGAAAATACCCACTGAGTATTTTGGGATCAAGGGACACAATGCCTACAGCCCGCTCTCGTGGTTTAGATAAAAGAGAATGTGTGCAGGTGTGCGCGTGTTTGTGTGTGTATACGCACGCGCGTGTGTAAACAGAGAGAGAGGCAGGGAATGAGGCAAGTGTGGCAAAGCGTTAACACTGGGGAATTCGGGTGAAGGCCAGACGTGATTTCTTCATACCCTTTTTGCAACTTTTCTGTACGTCTGAAATGACTTCAAAATAAAAATTTTTGAAGTCTTGAAGTGTGTTTCTGTTCAGAGTTAGGAAACACCTTTAGGTGTGGGAGGCATTAGTTTTCACTCTTTCTTGGAATGGTTTTGCCCAGTGGAGTAGCTTTCTTGGCTGACAGTACAATGACCAGGACCATGAATCTGGAGGTCTGGTCTGAAGATGGTCTGTACTGTGAGAAGCTCTCTGCTTCTCCCATACCCGCTTTTCCATCTCAAATGTTTCACATTCTCATCAAAGCTCTACGGGTAGCAACCACACCTAATATATGACACTTGGATGTGATTTCATCTTGGAAGCCCACAGATCCGTGGAAATAGCCGAGTTACCTCTCTGGCCTTTGGAATTCCTGACATAGTTCAGATCACATTGAATCCAAATTAGCATCTATTATTAGAAGATCAGGGACAGAGAGAAATGTAAACCAGACATACCCGCAGAAATCAAGGTTGAAGCAAAAGAGGTTATGAAGTAAGAAGAAAAACAGAACCGCATTTTCACTTCACGTCTGGCATTATAACACATTACTTGGTTTGCACTGGTTACATTGTGTTAATAAACTTATATAAAGTCATACAGCATCTTTGACTTCACCCCAAATGGTCACTATGATGAAAAGTCAATCACAGCAATTAACATTGAGTGCTAGGCTTAATGTTAGGCTAGGCTCAGTTGGGTTAGGCTCTATCTAAGTACTTTATATCATTATCTCATCTAATTTTTACAATACCTCTATTATTTTTGCATAATACGACAATTATGCCCTTTTTACAGATGAGGAAACCGAGGCTTGGAGTTGCCTAATGGCTTGCTTGAGGCCATACAACCAATCATCCTGCTTTTCAAAGTCAATGATTTCTTAGTTCTAAAGTTCATGGTGTTTCATAAGTTTTCACCAGTTTATTCCTCTATCCAAAGGTTCTGAAGCTACATTCCTGGTGACCTCTCTGCAGGAACGAGGTCACCGAGGGGGTTGAAAGTCATGTCAATCATTAACCAGGATGCACATGAGTGTTGGCAGCAGTGTTACTCGTAACAGTCCAAAACTGGAAACCACCCAAGGCCCATCCCAGTGGCATGGGTGCAAGGATATACTCGCACCATGGAATTCAGAAAATGGAATTCAGACGTGAGAAGATTCATTCTGTGAGAAAGAGCACACTGCTGCTCCAGACACAACTGGCTGAGTCTGCAAGATACAGTCTGTGTGAAAGAAGCCAGACACAGAAGAGTGTCTCCTTTAGCGTGTCATTTATACATAGAGTTCAAGCGCAGGCAAAACCAATCTCCAATGACAGGTCAGGATGGCAGTCGGCCTTAGGGATAACCAGGGCTGAGGGGGGCACTTCTGGGGGGATGGGGACGGTTGACGTCTGGATCCGGGTGGTGGCTACAGGTGTGAAAATTGTCAAGCTGAGCACTCGAGATTCGCACACTGTGTGGATGTAAGTTAAACCTCGAGAACCATGTGGATAAATCAAACCAACAGAAAACACCTGGAGACCTTGAACCCCCAAGGGCAACTTTTAACTTCCGAGCAAGGCTGGTCACCTCTGGGCCAGAGCGTGCACACAAATCATCTCCAAAATGTTGTGTGCTGTTCCGGGGACGACAACAGAAAGCTCGTCATCAGCAGGCTGAGTGGGTCCCCCGAGCAACTCATCCTCGTCCCCAGGGAAGGGACGTTGGCCTTTGTGCCATAAATTCCGCTCTTAGGAGCAAATGGGGCTGTGGAAATCTGCTAGGAGGGTTGAAACCTACAACCCATTGCCATGTGCCCATTCCCTTAAAACCCCAAATGAAAAAAACAAAACAAACTTAGTACGTTTTTTAAAGGCCGTAATTTAGAAATAAGGAAGACTGGTTTCTTTGCATGCTTTTTCATGACTTTATTCCTAACTACCTCTCTACCCCACAAATCCTTAATAAACGTGATGAATAGAAAAAAAAAGCCAAGTGACAGAGACCCAGTACCCAACTGGTTCTCTCCAATAGGAAAAAAAGGTTCTGCTCATGTAGCAAGAGGGAAAAATGATTTTAGGAAACAAAAGGAACAGAAAATCTTTCAGAATGTGGGCTAGCTCAGAACAAAAGGTAAGAACACATCGGTCAATGTGGCTTATAAATTACCACTGTCTGTTTTTTTCTACCATCTCCGATTGCTTTAAACCCAAGAATAATGCTGTTGTAGGCACTTTACATGCACTGACTTTTCAGATCCTCCAACAAACCCATGGTGGAAGGACGATGATTTATTTTATAGATGAGGAAACTGATCCCCAGGGAGATTGATGCCACACAAGTAGCAAGAGGGGTAGCGATGATTCAAACCCAAGAACTCTGGTTATGTCACCTGTGTTTATTTACAAACATAGAAACAAGAAGATACTGGAGAACTGTTTGAGCTACAACAGTTTGAATATTAGAAACCAATTGCTAACTGAATCACCAACTGGAAATACATTCTCTGAAAATATTTATAGAGATCCTATCAACTGGCCCCAAAGCTCATCCATAGAAGGGAAGAGTAAGGAGCATTGGCTTGGAGATCCCTGCCCTAGTGTGACCCAACACCGTGATTTATAGGAAGAGTTAAATGTGTCGGCCTCTGGTGCTGTGAAGTGATCGCCCCCCTCTTAGGAATGAGGACAGAAGCCTAACGTCTGTTGCTTCACTCTGATCAGCGGCACAGATTCCAGAGAAAGTCAGACTTGAGACAAGGAACCATCACAGGGCAGGATCACTCAGCAGCTCGTCTGAACACTTTCTGCTCACCCACTGCTGCCGTAGGGGACGCGAGAGCCCAGAAGATGAAGTCCAGAGAAGGCGCGTGTCTTAGAAAGGGTGCGAGGAAGCGGCCTGGCAGCCCGCCCGTCTCCATCTTTCTCAGTGACGCTGGCCATGTGACCTCACCTCACCTCTCTCACCGTCACCGCCTGGAACTTCTGAACCGCCATCGACTCCTCACCCATGGCAGGCAAGACAGAAGTGGCACTCTGAACCTGACCGATTGTCAAAATAAAACAAAATAATATTCAACATCCTCCGGGGACTCTAACAGAACCCAGAGTCTAAAAACACGATGTCCAAAAGGAGCGGGTCGCAACCTGCTTGACAAAAGATCAGAGATGAAGTTTGGGCTTCCCTGGTGGCGCAGTGGTTGAGAGTCCGCCTGCCGATGCAGGGGACGCGGGTTTGTGCCCCGGTGGGAAGCCTTTGCCCCAGCCTTTCCATCCGCCCTGGACTAGGGCTCTGGTGGCACCAGAAAGGGTCGGGAAAATGCTGCAGGTGCTGGCAGCTGGAAATCCAGCAGGGGAGTGAGTGTCAGTGGGGCGGGCACGACAGTGTCTGGTAACCCTACTGCAGGTGAAGAAATGGAGGCACAGAGAGGTTAAGACATGGGACCAAGCACACACAGCTCAGCAGCAGCCGAACTGGGACTTAAAACCACAGTCCTGGGCTTCCCTGGTGGCACAGTGGTTGAGAGTCCGCCTGCCGATGCAGGGGACACGGGTTCGTGCTCCGGTCCGGGAAGATCCCACATGTCGCGGAGCGGCTGGGCCCGTGAGCCATGGCCGCTGAGCCTGCGCGTCTGGGGCCTGTGCTCCGCAACGGGAGAGGCCACAACAGTGAGAGGCCCGCGTACCGCAAAAAAAAAAAACCCACAGTCCAGCCTGAGCACTTACTCTAAACCACCCCCTGCCCCCTCCACCCCCTACCTTTCATCTGGGAAATGTATTCACCCTTCTCAGCGAGCTGAGATGTGACACCCAGGCAGCCACAGGAACACCTGTCTAACCCTCTGCACAAACTAATTATGAAAAGCAGACAGACCACCTTGTGTCCCAGTGGCCCTTGGGCCAGATGTGAACTCCAAACGATCGGTTTTCTACTTCGCGGCTTGGAGGGAAGAAGATGAACTTTTCAGGCCTCAGCTTTTTCACCTGTAAAATGGGACCACTCACAGCTTCCTGTCAGGAGGACTGGGGGAGACCTA